AACCTCGGTTACTAAGTCCCATGATCCTCCAAGTAGGGGTGCTTTAAAATGTAGGGTTTAGGGTCTAGGGCTTAGGGATATAAAGCGAGGCTTGGGGTTCAGGGTTTAATCAGGGCTTAGGGTACAGGGTTTAGAGTTTGGGCTTTAGTAGGGTTTAGATTGTTTTAGTGTAGTCTGCACCTTTGACTCCGCGAGAGCGTCCAGCGCTACCCTTTCAGGGCATACACTGGATGCATCCTTCACTCACTAAGCAGTCATTCACTGGTTTAGGCTTTAGCCATAGGGCCTAGGGTAATTCTAGGGAAGTTAGTATAGGGTATATTCAGTGTAGGATATAGGAAGGAGCTGAGGTGTCTGTGGGTTTCCATGAGTGATGGCGTGTGGTTCTCTAAACCGGTTAGTTCAGGGTTTAGGGCTAAGTGCTCAATATAGAAGCCTAACTAATTACCACTACTTTTGTTTTTGAGGGGGGGTCCTTATTACAAGTGAAATACGATTCCAGTTATTAAGGTCCCTACATTAGATTTTTAGGGTGTGAAGTCTAGGGCGTTGGGCTGTAAGTTTTACAGATTGGGGCTACGGGCTATAATATAGGGGCCAGAATAGTTAGATTAGGGCTTTGGCGTACCATATACCAATAAAATTGCCATGATTATAGTAAGGAACCCCCCAAATGGTATCCCCTATACTGCACAATTGGAGGATCAGGCGAGTGCTAGGGTTTAGGGCTTAGGGTAAAACCTACTCTGCGAGCTGCTTACGAACCCCTAAACCCTAAACCCTCCACCGATCCTGCAAGCAGCTGCTTGAAGGCCGGCTAGGATGTTGGACTCCTTAATAGCATAGGTATTACAAGGAACCCTAACGAATAACAGCTGTAATTATTTAGGCTTCTATACTACCCTACTCTCCTAAATACCCTTAACCCTAAACCCCAAAGCCTAATTCCGAATCGCCAAAAGCCTGAACCCCAAACCTTGCACTGTGAAGCCAAAACCTAAACCGAAACCCTTAACCCTGAACCTTGAACCCGGAATCCAAACCCTAAACCCGAACCCTCAACTACCCTCTGCCCTGAAGGCGTCAGGGTCGGGGGGACAGCAGGTTTCTAGAGCTCTTCGGGCTGGCAGTCTTCGGATCACCCAAGGCTCCTAAGTACCCATACGGAGGATACTTACTCAGACCATAATAATAGTAGTAGTAGTAGTAGCAGCAGGAGTAGTAGTAGTAGTAGTAGTAGTTCATACTATTGAGACTCTACTTTCTACGTACCATGCAGGTACTTATGAGCCTGTGGGTCTGGGTCTACATGGAAGGTGAGGAGTTTGAGTAAGCAGGAGAACACAAAGAGCCCTAAGGTGTTGTTTGTCTTCAGGGTTTAGGGCCCTAAAGTTTAGGATTTCGGGTTTCGGGCTTGGGATTTAGAAGGGGGGCAGCACACAACCCCAAGACCCTATTCTAATTACTCTGGCCCCCATATTACTTCCGTCGGTCCGCTGATCCCTCTACTCATAAGATCCTCTAAGCAACAGCACTAAAGCAAGATATTTCACTCGGGCACGGGGCTTATCTCCTCGCAATCGCTTGGCCGCCGGCCTCACTCTCTTGTTTTGGGTTTAGAGGTGGGTTTAGGGTTTAGGGTTTAGGGTTTTGGGTCTAGGGTTTAGGATTTAGGGTTTAGCTTAGGGTTTAGGGTTTAGGATTTAGGCTTTTGGGCTCTGTTGCTTCTTCAAGACTTGGGCCTCAGAATGGTAGCGGCTTTTCGGGATATTGGGCCATGCTCGAAGTGAGTAGAATTATAGTCATAAGCAGCCCCACTCAAGGCTCTGACGACTCGATTGGCCCTCTTAGTTAGGCGATCTCGATGGACGGATCCGGGATTTCGTGCTCAGGGTTGCAGTGGGCCAAAGTACTCCGAGAACTTACACTCAAGCCGCACAGATACTGACCCCAAAGCGAAACCGAACTCCAAACTGACGATTGCAGTTCCCGCACATCTCCCTGACCTAGCCCTAACCCCCCAGGTACCTACCATATAGGGTACTGGAGCCCCTAGGGCCCTATATAGTAGGTACCGGGGGGGTAGGGTAGTATAGGTTCTATGATCAGACGCCTCCAAGACTCGGCCGCTTTACCACAGCAGGCGATTGGTGGCTTAAGACAGGGTTTTTGGCTTGAGCTTCGGGCAGTTTTGCTATAAAAGCCGAAAAAGAAGGATAAATCCAATCGAGTAGCAATATAAGAAGAACCCCCCAAATGCCAGCATCGGCATGAAGGGGCTTCAGGGGCCTTCAACCACCAATCCATCCGAGCTTGCTTTGGGGATGCTAGGCTTAGAGTTCTGCATTACCATGGCTCCCTGTAGCCGAAGGACTGCATCCCTGGAGTCTGCAAGAGCTGCTTCGGGTTTAGGGCTTTGGGTTTTGGGGGGTTTAGGGCTTCGGGGGGTTTAGGATTTAGGGTTTGGTTTAGTGGGCTTGGGGCTTAGGGGGTTTAGGATTTAGGGTTTAGGGCTTAGGGTTTAGGGAGTTTGGGGTTCAGGCAGCTGCTGGTAGTCTGCAACCGAGGTAGTAGTCATCACCAGTCTGCCCTTCTGGATTCTGGTCTTTCTTTGTTTAGGGTTTCGGGTTTAGGGTTTAAATTAGGGCCCTCAAGGCTGCGCAAGCAAACGAGTAGCAGTTCCGAACGGCCCGTTCTCTTCAAATGCAACACGTGCTGCATGTTGTCCCGTTCTCGTCTGAACAGCCAGCCCGCCCCTTCCCATCTTGGGTCGGGGATCGGGACTGGCGTTCGCGACGCGCTTCTTGGCATGCCTAACCACCCGAAGCCCTAAGCCCTACACCCGAAGCCTTAAATCCTACGCCCCTAAACCCTGAACCCTAAACTCTAAGCATTAAATCCTACGCCCCTAAACCCTGAACCCTACACCCGAAGCCCTAAACTTGTGCACGTGTGGAAAAGTCCCTGAGGTGGGCTGCGGGGCTCGGCTGTTGAAGCGCCCACCTCACGTACTCTACCTTCCTAGAAACCTCCTCGTACCTAGACCCTCCATCTACCCTCTATGAGACCCTAAATACCCTTAATTTGGGACCATATACCCCTATTTGAGGGTAGTTGGAGGGTCCTGGTAGGTTTGGCCTTTGTGCTGACCGTGGGTAAGCCTACGGTCTCCGCCTTCCATCTGCATACTGCTGCTGAGATGCTCTGGGATGGTATACGGGTGTGTTTCGGACCATAGGCCCGCAAGGACCTTGCCAAAGCTAGCCTTACATGGATGATAAGCTAAACCCTAAACCCTAAACCCTAAACCCTAAGCTGGCCCTAAATCCTAAACCCTAGGCTGGCCCTAAACGCTAACCCTTAACCCTGAGCTCGACACTACGGGTGCAGTCTTGGTGAGAGGCTTATCGCTTTCGCGATCTTTACGGCTTTTAGGGTTCATGACTTCCGGGAAGTTTAGGGTTGACGGTTTGGGGTTTAGACCTGAGCCCTAAGCCCTAAACCCTATAAGCCCTCAAGTGTAGGGCTCAGGAGGTTTAGGAGGTTTGGGGTCAGCTTGCGCTAAATCCGACATCTACCAAAAAATCAAACTCTTCAGGCCCCACTTGATCTCTAACCCTTACCCTCAAAGGACTCAAAGGACTCATATTTCAAGGCTTTTGGGTCCAAAGACCCCAACATACAAGGATTTGGGCTATTTTGATGCTAAGGGTAAGATCTCAACATGCTAGGGTCAAGTAGAGGTAGGTTGGGGCTTGGGGTCTCGAGCTCAGTGAGTCTAGTGTTTCGGGCTCAGGGTTGAGGGTTCAGTACTACGGAACCCCTGTAAATACCAGACCAGTGCACAAACTCGAAATGGAGCTGCTACTAGAATAAGCTTCCTTGAGAGGAACCCCTAAACCCTACACCCTAAACCCTGAACCCTAGACCCTTAAGGGAGCCCTCAAAGTAGCCCTTAAAGGAGCCCTGAGGGTGTTCTGTGAAGGGTCAGTTTAAGGGCCAAGCAAACCCCTAAACCCTACACCGTTTAGGGTTTAGGGTTTAGGGTTTAGGGTTCAGGGTTTAGGGTTTAGGGACCCTACACCCTCAACAGTTTCACCGAGGCCGCTGCTCCTCTTCCTGGCACAGGGTCTGTTGCAGGGGTCTTCTGTAGTTAGAGTAGGGCTTTGGGGTCTGTTATACTGTGGCTATGACGATTATTACTCATAGATCAGTGTTTGTATTGCTGCTATGATGATTATAGCATACTAAACCCTAAACCCTAAACCCTAAACCCTAAACCCTAAACCCCTAAACCGGGATACTACTGGAGATCCTGGTCTCCACTCGGAACTCTTTTACAATGTCGGGCTTAGGCGTTTAGGATTCACTGTTTAGGGTTTAGGGTTTAGGGTTTAGGGTTTATGGTATTAGAACAGGCTTCCCTGTTGTGATTCCAACGTCCCTCCTCCGGGTGCGGCTTTGATACTGCAAACCCTAAACCCTAAACCCTAAACCATAAACCTTACGGCTGTGCGTTGAAGCGCCAGATTGCTATAGACCCTAAACTGACCTGCTTCTGTAAAGTCGAACATGAACACTAAACACTGAGTCCAAAACCCTAAGCCAGAAATGCTGAACCCCTACTTTCGCTCAATACCCTATCTCATGTTTAGGGTTTAGGGTTTAGGGTTTTGGCCTTCTAAATCTTGTGGGATCTTCCTCCTCTATAGGTGCTAGGTTCCTTTGCGAGCCTTATAGACACCCTTACAAAAGCTTCTTGAACCCGGATATCTAATAATAAAAGGCCAAGCAAGATCTGTCTAAATCACATATTATATATATATACCAAAAACACCTTACGAACCCGATTAAACAGATCTTAACTCCCATCAAAGAGGCCACCTCGCTGCTGTCTTCCTCGGATTCCTCCGGGTCTTGTTGGGCTGCTTTAGGCTTGGAGAGCTTGAGGGATCTTGGAATGAGGGGTTTAGGGTTTAGGGCAGTTTAGGGTTTAGGGCTGGGGGCTTTAGGGCTTCAAGGTTTCACGGATCGGTTTTCTTCGAGGCCTTGTAAAAGGCTGTTTGCGCAGCTGTCAGGGCACGGAAAAAATTCTTGCTGCTTTCTAAGGAAGGAAGGAACAACAAGAAATCCTAATTCCCTTAAACCTGAACCCCCTCTCGGCTTGGTTTCTAAACCCATAATGAAACCTCTACCTAAAATCCCTGTAGTTCTGGGAAGCCAAGTTTCATTAACAAAAGCCGTTCCCTAGAACCCTCATCATGTTCAAGGACAGATAGAAGGACTTTTTAACACGGAGCCCGAAAAAGGTGAGTGTTGAACGGATTATGAAGGTGACCCTACACCTTTGAATGCTAAAACCCTGAAGTGCAAACCCTAAACACAGGCGATAATAAATCTCTACGCAGCGGGTCATACCCTACCCCATCTTGGGGTACCTCGTTTTGTGCTTAGCGGCTAGCGTCTGCTATTGTCAAAGTGGGTACCCTAACAAACGGGGCTGGGCACAACCATCTAAACTCTGAACCCTAAACCCTAAACCCTAAACCCTGAACCCTAAACCCTGAACCCAAATCGTTGGCGAGGGGGGTGTTCCTTCCGGCCAGGCGCGCTTGTATGGCGGACTGGATGCCGAGGCTGCTCTGACGGAGCGCGGGAGGGTGGAGGAAAGTGCAGGTTTGACCTCTGTAGTGGGGTGAGGGGTTTAGGGTTTAGGGTGTAGTGGGGTGAAGTTTTTCATCCGGTGATATGGAGTCGGGCCTAAACTCTAAACCTTTTTTTTGTTCTCGCACGAAAGGCTTTGGGCTTGGGGTTTATGATTTGTGGGTTTCAGGAACCGGAATGCCTTCAAACAAGGATTGTTGAAAAATGACTGCAGACTCACGACAGTTATCTCTTTCGGGCGACGAGCCCTCGTGTATATTGCCACTGTATTTTTTGAGAAGCCATCAGTTTGTTTGCGACTGGGAAAGTAACCAGTAACATGACTTGATCAGCTCTCTGTCCTGTTCCAGAGTTCGCACAAAAGGCTTCTTACACATGCTTCTACTTCGTGTGTTTCTATATAGACACATCCACGTATTGCTTTCTATTCCGAGATGTGTGTCTGTCTATGCGCATGCTCGCCATGTACTTGTGGTGTGTGTGTGTGTGTGTGCGTGACGGTCTGACTGTGCATGCTTATGCATTCTGAGCACTCTTTTCTTAGGGTCGGATAAGATGCCTCCTTGAAAGGGTGCCTCTTTGGCGCTCGGAGCACGCTAGATAGCCTCCGTTGAAAAGCCAGTAGTCCGTGATATTCCTTTGCTGAAAACCTGTTATTCTGTTATATTCCTTGGTATTCTGCGGTATTCCTTCTGTGAAAACCCGGAATGTTTGTTGGGATATTCTGGAGAAGCCCTTTTCTGAAACCTTTGGACGCCTTGCGGCTTCTGTAGTCCCTCGGGCTTGCCCGAAAACCCGGAAAACTCTAGCTTTGTCTAGCTTTCTAGCCTTCTGTAGCTTCTTCTTGGTTTGTCTAGCTTTGTCTAGCTTTCTCTAACCTTCTGTAGCTTTTTCTCGGTTTTT